ACATTTGTCGCGGAATTTCTTCTATCTCCCAAAAACGTTTAAGAGAGCTTTCCAAAGAAGCATCGCAAGTGCAAAAAAATGAATTGAGAGGAACTGTCATTTTATGGCAACTCACTGTACCCATGAGAATCCATCCAAAAACTGTTTTCAGTGCAACAGGTTCATCTGGTTTGCCAATTTCACGGCCAGTTTCAAGAATCAGTGGAAAAATGTCAGCGCCTAGCAGGATATCAATAGGGTTTGGAATATTAAATTCTGGATCTGCTAAGGGCAGATCAGATATATGAGACCATGATGGATTAGAAATATTTATTTTGGGCATATTATCACATATTTGTGGTATGATTACAGCATCTACTGTAAATGTGGGTTGCACAAGATTACGAGGACGGAGAGTGAAAGACACTCCCTTTGAGGCTTTGGAGTTCATGTGGCCTAAGCCTTGAATTGATAAAGAGATATTTGTTTTTGGTAAACCTAATCGGTGACAACATTTTTCAGTGATAAAGTTCGCCTGACTTCCAGAATCAAGAAGAACTCTGAGAGTTTGGAACGTTCCACAAGAATCCAACACCTCTACGAGGGCTGTAGAGAGCAACACAACTGAAGAGTCTATAGTAGGAACGAAATTGGTGAGAGCGGTTGAAGTTTGAGGCACTGGGCTAGAGTTAGAAGTATTTTCATGATGAGAAGCTGAGGAGAGGGGCAAAGGGACCTTTTCAAAATGTAGTAGTGTGTGATGTCTTTGTCCACACTTTAGGCATTGTGTTTGAGATGAGCAGTCTCTGAATGAGTGTCTAGAACCTAAACAATTGGAGCACCATTTATTTATTTTTACTACATTATATCGTTCTTCTGGAGTTGAGGTTAGAAATTTCGAACATCGGTAAATTACATGATCTTGTTTGCATAGGGGGCAATTAGAAGAGGCTTTGGTTTGCGTGAAAAATGAGGAACTTGGGCGTGATTGAGTATATAGTGGAGACTTCTGAGAACCGAACCTATTTTTCGAAACTTCTATTCTTTGAGGTTTTCTTGAATGAGTTATGTCATATGTTCTATCTAATGCATCACATTGAGTCAATACGAATTTTTTTAGAGATTCAAATGAGGGTATTTCATTAGAGCCATGTTCTATTTCGAACCTCGAAACTGTATTCGAGTCCAATCGTTTAAGCAACATATTGAATAACAAGAAATCCCAATGTTCTACTGGAAAACCCATATTTGTTAAGGCGGCCAAATTTTCCTCGAAAACATCTATTAGACGTCTTAGACTTTGAGGAGTGACATTATTTTCAGAAAGTTTGGTCATATTCTCTAATTCCAAATAATGTGTAGTTGCTAATAATCTTTTATTATCGTATCTCGCCATAAGGGCATCAAATGCGATATAATAATTATCATCGCTCAGAGGATTGCATTTGACTAAAGACAGAGGTGGTCCGCTAAGAGAAGAAATGAGATAGTTGAATTTTTCAATTTTACTCAGATTTGAATTATCATGCACTAAAGAGGTAAACATATCAATGAAAGTTTTCCATGTTTTGGGATCACCATCAAATTTCGGTAGTTCAATTTTCGGCAACTTCACATTATGTTTTGGGAAGGATGAGTTAGTATTTGCATTGTCATCTTTGAATAATTCTGAATGAATCGCTAGTATATCATAATAAGTATCATCGAAATTTTTACGAACTGCGTTCTCAGTTTCGATATCATATTCCTCAATGTTAGCAACTAAGGCAAGTAATGAATTGTGATTTCTTTCAAATTCAGAAAATATAACATTAATCTGTGAAAATCTAGCATTGAATTTTGTCAAAAAGTTCTTATTATCTCTAGCACTTTCAGCTATAATTTTCAAGTCTTCCATTCGTTCTATTGGGGTGGAACGTAATGTTACAAACTGCTTTATTTTTGCAGCTGCCATTTTTATATAAATAAAGAGAGGAAGAATATTCAGAGTATATTAAGTATTTTAAACCCGGTATCTAGATATCAATGATCCGCTAATTATTTCATTTATTTATAAATAAACTTTATGGTGGGTATGTTCGATACTGTCGAGGAGAGAATGAAAAAACAATTGAGTGGTTTTATCTACATATACAATTTAACTCATTGTAAAGTAACTGACAATTTAACTCGAATTTAACTCACTTTAAATTAACTAATTAAACGAGTTTTTATCTGAGCACCTCGAATTTGAAGATAAATCAACTGGTCTCGGGAGCAAAAAATGGGTCGCCAAAAAACGACTAATACCTATGTATTTGAATGATGATGAATATTTGGATACGAAAATGTTTATTCCTGGTAATCTCGTTTTCGCAAATGCATATAATTCGAACAATAACTATTATGATTCAGAATGCTTCCGGTTCGACGGGCCAAAATGTTGAATAGTGGACTGTATGAAATGACTTGATAGTATAATTATTGCTCGACTAAGTTGCATTTGTTCGTTATACGAGGCGTTGTTGAGAGAAGAGTTTAATATTGAAATTCATCGAGCTGTGATTTTCTTACCAAGTTATGGTCACTGAAGTTCGACGGTATAGTCCGGGAACTGCTACAAGATGCACTGATACACGATGCCGTTATGCAAACGACCGGTGCACTTACACGAGAGAGTACGTACTATGCGTCGCGGCTCATGAGCGAAAGAGAGAGAGTGAGAGTACCTTTTATTAACGAGATGTGTACCGTATGGCGACACGAATGAGAATGCTAATGCTAATTGTAGGTACCGATCGTCCTTGGCTGGTCTTCTTCCTTTTTTCCTTCGTACAACTGTCGATATGGAATTGAGAATCACAGCATTGAACGCGGGAAATTAAAAATAAGTGAACTATTTAATTGATAAACGCTCAGAGAAAGAGATTACCAGAATATACATTATATAAACTTAATCTATAACTACGAAATAGATGAGAGGTAACGAAACAGAATGATAAAGATGTCTATAGAACGCAGGTGTCCCTACTGTCAAAAACTTAAAATTTCACGTCGATAATTTTCAGATTTCAAAATAATGTAACATTTCCTCAATATTGATTCGTCCTTTCTTCTGTCACAGAAAAAAATAGTGTATTATACACGGGAAAAATAGTAGATTTCAGCTCACGGTTTTTTGTCTCCCTCCGCTACGCGTCGGGAGACAACACAACCTGGAGCTAAAATCTACAACTTTTTTCCCTTGTATAATAAATAACTATTTGAAAATGTTTACCTGAAATCAGATTGTCAATTTTCACAAATATTCTATTGAAACAAATGAGCTCCCGATGATTTCAGTAAACTAATGTCATTGACAGGCAGACAAATTTTGGGTAAATGAGAAGACAATATATTGACAATGCTCATCCTATCAATTATTTTTATCACTTAATTGTTATATTATTCACTTAAATAATGACTTGACTATTCTAGTAAGGCCCATAAGTGTCATCAACGTAAATAACTACACAGACAGAACCGATGTGCCGCCATCTACATGCAAAATTCTAAAGTATGACCTTCCATCGATACCTTCCATAAGCATCTCATACACGTTTTTGATTGCTTCAAATATATGTTTTCGTTTTTGTGTTTCGGTTGATTGGCTACTGGATACCTAAATGACTGTGTTTTCGATTTTGTATTTTGCTTCCTCATTGGTAGTTTGATCAAATATAAATCAAAATGACCTACATGCAAGGGCTGTCATGGACATGGATGTCATTATATTTTCGTCGAGAGGTGAACCGCGGTCAAAATTGTGTACAGGGTGGCCAACTAAGACTCCAGAGTTCGATTTCTCTGTTGTCTTGAGAGATACAAAAAAAATTCATGAATCAAAATTGAAGTAATAACCGAGCTTCACATTTCGAAATTTCTTTGAAATACATAGGGTGTTCCGTACGGTCACAGCACATCAAAGCTATGTTTTTTTCATCGGAACACTCTATATTTTATTTCATGTTTTATTCTCCCTGAAGATCTGATTTCAACGACCCATCATACTTAGGGTCTAGCAGTGAAAGTTACTGACATATAGGGTGTGCAAAATCGAGATTTTCCAAGTTCAGGATTTTTTTCTGTCCAAACTGTTCATTATTCGTCAAAACGGTTTACATGTCCCTATCTCAACTTTTCACTCACTATCAATTGGTGTTCAATTGAAATTGATACAAGGTGGTCAGAAAATCTAAATTTATAATTTGTTTCAATTAAATGTCAATTGAACACCAATTGATAGTGAGTGAAAAGTTGAGATAGGGACATGTAAACCGTTTTGACGAATAATGAACAGTTTCGACAGAAAAAAATCCTAAACTTGGAAAATCTCGATTTTGCACACCCTATATGTCAGTAACTTTCACTGCTAGACCCTAAGTATGATACGTCGCTGAAATCAGATCTTCAGGGAGAATTGAAAAATGATATAAAATATAGGGTGTTCCAATGAAAAAAACATTGCTTTGATGTGCTGTGACCTTACGGAACACACTGTGTATTTCAAAGACATTTTGAAATGTGAAGCTCGGTTATCACTTTAATTTGAATGCAAAACTTTTTTTTGTATCTCTCAAGACAACAGAGGTATCGAACTCTGGATTCTTAGTTGGCCACCCTGTACACCAAACTTCAATTTCACAAGGAATTCCAAGAGATTTCAAGGAATTCCAAGAAACTCCAAGGAAATCCAGGGAATTCCAAGGAAATCCAAGGGAATCCAAGGAAATCCAAAGAAATCCAAGGAATTCCATTTGTTTGTACACCAGAATTATACCGCACTTCACTCAAAGAATTCCAAGGAAATCCAAAGAAATCCAAGGAATTCCAAGGAAATCGAAAGAATTTCAAAGAAATCATGTTGCTTTTGGGCAACCTAATTTGTTTCTAATAATCAAAAGGATTTGTATTTCGATAATCATCAATATACTTGTATTACATACGAAAATCACGTTAAAAAAGGAACCAGGAAAAAAAAGTAACACAATCAAAACACTCACCGTCGCCCTGCATATCGCTCGTCCACAACGTCAAGTTGTCCCTCAACAGCTGCATGATCAGCGTGCTGTCCTTGTAGCTCTCCTCCGACAGCGTGTCCAGCTCGGCGATGGCGTCGTCGAAGGCGGCCTTGGCCAGCCGGCACGCCCTGTCCGGACTGTTGAGGATCTCGTAGTAGAAGACGCTGAAGTTGAGCGCCAAGCCGAGCCGGATCGGATGCGTGGGCGGTAATTCGGTCATCGCGATATCGCTGGCCGACTTGTAAGCGACCAGCGAGTGTTCGGCAGCGTCTTTGCGGTCGTTGCCGGTCGCGAATTCGGCCAGGTAGCGGTGGTAATCGCCCTAAGGGATTCTACGTTTAATAACCGTCAACTGCTGCTTGTAAAGTGTGATCCAATAGGATGATCGGTGGCTTCGTGAAACCAGAGGTTCTTGTTTTGACGTTTTTGTATGTTAGGCAATTCAAAGACCCGATAAACTATCCGCTGGTTGGCACACAATGAACATTTTCAAGATCAATTCATTAATTTCAGGATCCCGTAGCGTAGAAGATGACGCTGAAGTTGAGCGCCATGCCGAGCCGATGTTCGGCAGCGTTTTTGCAGTCGTTGCTGGTCGCGAATTCGGACAGGTAGCGGTGGTAGTCGCCCTAAGGGATTCTACGTTTGATAATCGTCAACTGCTATTTTTGAAGTGTGATCCAATAGGATGATCGGTGGCTTCGTGAAACCAGAGGTTCTTGTTTTGACGTTTTTGTATGTTAGGCAATTCAAAGACCCGATAAACTATCCGCTGCTTCGCACACAATGAACATTTTCAAGATCAATTCATTAATTTCAGGATCCCGTAGCGTAGAAGATGACGCTGAAGTTGAGCGCCATGCCGAGCCGATGTTCGGCAGCGTTTTTGCAGTCGTTGCTGGTCGCGAATTCGGACAGGTAGCGGTGGTAGTCGCCCTAAGGGATTCTACGTTTGATAATCGTCAACTGCTATTTTTGAAGTGTGATCCAATAGGATGATCGGTGGCTTCGTGAAACCAGAGATTCTTGTTTTGACGTTTTTGTATGTGAGGCAATCCAAAGACCCGTTAAACTATGCGCTGGTTGGCACACAATGAACATTTTTAAGATTAATTCATTAATTTTAGGATCTCATAGTAGATGACGCTGAAGTTGAGCACCAAGCCAGTGGCGGCTCCTCAGAGGAGGCAACGGAGGCTGAGCCTCCTCAGAGATTTTCCCTGAACTGATATTATCTATACTTTCTCATTAAAAGGACACCAAAATACATGGATTTTGATTTTATTTCCTGTTTCAAGGTTAATATTTTTGAATTGGCAGCAGTGCTTGCCCACGCATCACACGTTGAAGTCTGCAAATCACGCATAAAATATTCAACTTGGCAACATCTATAGGAGGCTAGACTCCTTTCACAATGCGCAAGCGCAACCTTGAGCGCAACCCACTCGCGCAATGGGAATGCCCCAACCCCCAATACGCCCTAATAGCACGTGTTTGTCGTGTGGCGTCGCGAATTGCGGGCATTGTTTATGTTTATGTTGGGTTAATGGTTAGGGGTTCTATGAATTTCTGAAAAATGAGTGTTTTAAACGATTGCAATTTAGTGGAATACTTTTTGGTGAACCCATTCAGTGATTTGTCTTATGAAGATAAATTGATTGTGAAAAACAAACGTCCGACACCGGAATTACAAAATCTGATTGTAACAGGTAACAAACAAAATCGTTCGTTCAATTCTGATAATTATAAAAAATATATCTGGCTGACGAGATCTGACGTAAGGAATAAGCTATTTTGTTGGTACTGCGTATTATTCTCAACCGATGTCATCATGTTGGGGGCGATTAGGATATAATGATTTGAAAAATTTGGCTCGCGGATTGGATAGACACTGCGAATCACAGGAACACATCTCTTCAAGTATTAAGTTCAGGTTAACTGGTAAACAGAATGTCATTAAAGCTATTGATTTGGGTGAGTAGGGAGTTGTTTTTCACAATAAATCTCATATCATTCAGCCTCCTCTGTCATGAAAGTCACGAGCCGCCTCTGCACCAAGCAAGCCAAGCAAGCTGAGACGGATCGGATGCGTGGGCGGTAATTCGGTCATCGCCATGTCACTGGCCGACTTGTAAGCGACCAGCGAGTGCTCGGCCGCATCTTTGCGGTCGTTGCCGGTCGCGAATTCGGCCAGGTAGCGGCGGTAGTCGCCCTAAGGGATCCCACGTTTAATAATCATCAACTACTGTTTGTAAAGTTTGACCCAATAGAAAGTTCATCGGTGGCTCCGTGAAACCAGAGGTTCTTGTTTTGACGTGTTTGTATGTACGGCAATTCAAAGACCCGTTAAACTATGCGTTGGTTGGCATACAATGAACATTTTTTAGATTAATTCATAAATTTTAGGATCTCGTAGTAGAAGACGCTGAATCGGATGCATGGGCAGTAATTCGGTCATCGCGATGTCGCTGGCCGACTTGTAAGCGACCAGCGAGTGTTCGGCAGCGTCTTTGCGGTCGATGCCGGTCGCGAATTCGGCCAGGTAGCGCTGGTAGTCGCCCTAAGGAATTTCACGTTTAATAATCATCAACTACTGTTCGTAAAGTGTGATCCAATAGAAAGTTCATCGGTGACTCCGTGAAACCAGAGGTTCATGTTTTGTCGTGTTTGTATGTAAGGCAATCCAAAGACCCGTTAAACTATGCGCTGGTTGGCACACAATGAACATTTTTAAGATTAATTCATTATTTTTTTAATGTCGTAGTAGAAGACGCTGAAGTTGAGCGCCAAGCCGAGCCGGATCGGATGCGTGGGCGGTAATTCGGTCATCGTGATGTCGCTGTCCGACTTGTAAGCGACCAGCAAGTGCTCTGTCGCGTCTTTGCGGTCGTTGCCGGTTGCGAATTCGGCCAGGGTAGCAGTGGTAGTCGCCCTAAGGGATTCCACCGTAAAAGACACTAACTGCACAGTCAATGACTGTCATAGATGAGTCTACATGCTAATCCAAATCCTAAATCACTAAACTATACAGAGAGCTAAGAGGAATAGGTCCTTTATCCTTATTCATAACTTCATCCCTATTGTCAATTATTTCCAGGCTTTCATATGCATCTAATTTTTGAACATAATCAACTTGTTTGAACAGTTTAAGGTTATTGATGTGTGTGTTATAATTGTGATTAACACGTTCGCTGCCGAGCTGAAATTTCAAAAAATGACTTCACGGGCCAAGGTAATTTTCACCAATGAGGTACGTATTTAATTTATACCCACACAAAAGTCCCCACTAAAATCCTCCAGGCCAAAACTTTCAGTTGCTCTTTATGCTGCCAGGCCGCAGAGATCATAAGCTAATGCATTTCTTATTGCCCGTGTATTACAGAGAATACACCGCTGTTCAGACAGAATGATAGTCCGTGTATCATTTAGGATACCCCCGGCCTGTGGAAAGCACTACCTGGTGTATCATTAATGATACACCAGGCAGCGAACGTGTTAAACATTATGTTCAGATACACTCTAAATGTGCGAGGTGTTCTGTGAACCTTGTTTTTATGGGTCGCCTAGTTTGTCCTATATATGTTTTCTCACAAACATTTCAACCAATTTCAGGGTGTCTGGTCTCTTATCTGAAATTCACCAAAGATAAAGTCAAGTCAGTTGTAATTGTTACCTTCATTTTGTAGTAGAAAACTTTTGATTCTCCAGAAGTAGCTGCTGGTATCAGGTGTTTATCGAGGACCCCCAATATGTCCGAGCAAATGTCCCTTAATTCCTTTTCGACTTGCGCTCGATACTGTCGAATCATTTCCAATTTGTCGTCGGCGCCCTTCGTCTCCTCTTTCTGTTCGATGGACGATATGATGCGCCAGGACGCCCTTCGAGCACCTATGACGTTTTTGTAAGCGACAGAAAGGAGATTCCTCTCTTCGACTGTCAATTCCAGATCCAGCTTGGCTACCTGCTTCATGGCTTCTACCATTTCTGGAAACAAATAATACACAATTTGATTATTCAAAATTGTTTTCCTGGGTCAACTTTTATGTAATAACTTCGACAGGTGGATTACATTTGACAGTTCTCTTCTCTTGCAGCCATCTCCCACTTTTTATTTTCAAATGACTCCCCATGTATATTGTCATTGGAAATTACTTGTCATTCAATTTGGAATGCAACGATAGCGCATACTTGCGGTATTTGGTCAGTATCAACGAAAATTTATCATATTTCTGGACCCCGAAAAGAACACCCTGTACTTTCAAATTTCCAAAATCCGCTTACATATTTGGAAAGTGCACAAAAAGCTGAATCGAATGGTTATTTTCCCGCTTGCTATTTCACTAAAGAATTTCTGATTTTCAATTTTATGCATTTGGATAGGTAAAAGTGTAATATTTTGAGTTCCCCCAATCGAATAACAACAATTATCACGATCCACCTAGTATATTCTTTTGGAATTTGGCATTTGAGCGTTCCATTTGGGGGCCAGAAATATAATCCATTTTCGTTAATCCGGACCTGAATTTTTCTCGTGACTGATAGGTGAGTCGCTTGGGAAGAAGAAGAAGAAGAAATTGTGTACCAAATTATAAGAGAATATACTGGGTAGTTCGTAACATGTCGTCACAAAGAATAGAACAAATTTGATAAAACACCCTGTATCTCGGATGTAAGACCCTACAAATATGGTATATTCAGAACCAACTTGATGAGCTCTAACCACCGGGCAAATTCTTCCGTTTCCCACTGGGGGTATATAGTGTCTCACTTCTAGTGGAAGCAACCCTGTATCTTTTGTATATAATTGTTGAGGTAGGATTCTGAAATTTGCAGGAGCAGGAGATATACCGAAAATACAAGGTTCATTAGGGTTCGAACAATTACTGTTCTAGAACTGTCAGGAGTTGGAGCAGTAGAATCGGTCGTGTTCGGGTTTTGTGGAACTGTTCTAGGAATGAATATTTACGCGTTCGGGTTTCTTCAGCATCGTCCTGGGACGGTCCTAGAACTATCCGAAACCAGTACCTGCTCTCGAGAGTTTCGAGCGTGAACCGTTCTCGGTTTATTTTTGGAGCATGCTCATTTCATTTATTTTTCGATTCTGTCTGTTGTAACGTAACGTCATAATGATATATTTTTGTTTATTCTAATGATTATTGATGTTTTCAATATGTTCTCAAAATGATCAGAGATTATGCAATCTTTGATATTATGGAGTTAGTACATTTATTTGATAGTAGTAGTAGTTCTTCGTCAGGAAGCAATTGTGAAGGAGTTCCTTGCTGACGTTGAAAAATGAAGGATTATGTTGAGGAGACTTTGCCATTATATTCAGATACACAATTCATTGAACACTTCAGGTGGGTGTCGAAATTCATGTATACACGAAAAAAAAAAGGATTTGTTTCATCAACAAATTATTTATGCTTGAGTTATTTTTGTTGGACTGAGCAATTTTTTGTTGGATCAACCAGATACATGATTATTCCATGGAAGCAGCTTGTTCAAATCAAGAATGTAGTCTAATTGAATCAACAGTAAAATATCAATTCCATTAACAAAATATATGGTTTCTTCCAAAACAAACTATGTCGATCCAAAATAATGTCGATGTTGATTCAACTATAAACATTTCGTTGATTTGATCAAATAATGATTATTTTGATGAGAAATATATCTTTGAAACAACATACAAGTTGTCTTATTCCGATGCATCAATGAACTCGTTTCGAACGGATCATTTGCTTGAATAGGGCAACGAAATATGTAATATCAATGAAATATTTTGTTCATTCTAAATCAACTTAAATTTTCGCCTCTAGATGGCGATCATTTCGCCTCGTCTATGCCTGCCTCGAGTTCATTATATACGCGAAGCATGATTCTTCGAGTTTGAAATATCGGCTGATGGATAAGTCGAACTTAGGATGATTAGCAATCCGAAATAGTTTTCCATCGCAGCTAAAGAGAATTAAAGACTAAAGATCTATGCTAGGAGTCAACTAGTTTCCTAGTTTTGTTTATTCTATTGATGAGAAATTTCAGATGATTCCCGAATATTGAATTTGGTTCAACAAAACAATTTGTCGAATGGATATATAGTTTCTCTTGAATCAACAAAATATTTCATTGAATTAACCAAATATTTCATTGAATCAACCAAATATTTCATTGAATCAACCAAATATTTCTTTGAATCAACCAAATACTGTCTACTTTTCTTTATTTCACAGTCATATAAATTATGGCGTTTTATTATGGGGAAACTCTTCTCATGCTCCTATCATATTTCGCCAGCAGAAAAAGGCAATAAGAGTAATGGCCAATGCATATTATAGAGAACACTGTAAAACCTTATTCATCACATATGGCATCATGCCATTACCAACTTTGTTTATCTATAACATACTTCAAGAGGTTCACAAACAATCTAACATACTCAGAACTCATAGTGATATTCATGACCATGACACCAGACATGCGATGAAGATACGTAATCCTCGGTTTAGACTTACTGTATCTCAGAAAAACTCCTTGGATTACAACATTTACAATATATTGCCTCATAGAATTAAAAATCTCTGTTTCATCAAATTTAAGAATAAAATAAAGCAATATCTCCTGGAACATTGCTTCTACTCACTGGAAGAATATTTTCAGACTGATCATGAGAAACTACGGACTTGAGTATTGATATGGATGAAGTTGCTATCAATATGTACCTGTATTTTATATTTTTTTCTTATTTGTTCTCTATTTTTAATCTGTATCAATATTTTCATATTGTTTGTCTTTTACCTTCTTATTGTTTGTCTTTTAACTTCATTTTATTTACAGTTCTATTTCTTTATAGTTCTAACTCCTTGACCTACTACAAATGTACAGTGTACGTAATGTGGTAAAATAAAGTATTCTATTTTATTCTATTCTATTCTAATATTTCGTTGAATCAACTAAATATTTGATTGAATCAATATCTTGTTATTTTGAATCAAACAAAATGTTTGTTTGAGTCAATTCAATATCTCTTCATAAACAATTCATGGATGTGCTTGATTGAAGAAGATCCAGAGTTCATTCAAGACATATTTACTTGATTCAAACTTCAAATTCGCTCTGAAACAAGATATAGATTTACTCATTTCAAGATTATATTTTGTCGTGCATATATGACACTTTTATTTGCTCCATTCAATCAAATTTTGCTTGATTCAACAATTCCTTTTTTTCCGTGTAGGTACAAAGGGACTGAACATGTTGAATATCAGCTACAAACACTATCGTGGAATATATTATTTACCATTCTTCCACAGAGGATTTCCAGAGATATTGTGAATAGACTCAAAGGAGAGTTTGAGACTTCAGAATATTATAGCAATGAAGATAAGGGTTTCAAACTATTGTTTTTTTCGCAAATTCCTAATAGAGGTTATGTTCTCAGAGGTTCTCTTCTGCCGCGTTCGGGTTTTCATAATTTAATTTTTCTACAAACGCTTTACTAAGTAGCCTTTGACGCTTTCAAATTAACACATACTTGACGTTTTCCCAGAAATGTAATTCTTTGACAGCATTTGCACTCGTGAGCGGAAATATTGAAAAAACGCTCGCACATCTCTGTTCCCCGAGGCATATAACCTCCAGAAATTTAAGAAGAACACCAATTCCTACCTTATTTCCCTTGGTTCTCACGATTTTCTCTGAACATTACAGGATATCCCTTTTCGTGGGAACCAGAACATAAATAAAATCTATTCTTGAAAACCCCCAATTCTTTCATGATGGAAAATAGTGACAGTGAACTATCAAACACACCTCCTGATATAGCAGGAAGCGCAAAAGTTTGAATCTCTTACTGGAGAAATCAAGGAAGAAATATGAATTACAATACGATACATTCATAAATTGGTGCCACTCCGAGAAGATGAATAAGTATTCAGAAAACGTTTTACTGGCTTATTTTGGTGAAAAATCGAAGACTTTGAAGTCATCAATCAACTCATTGGTCTATATATTCGATGGTACGTATACATGCTTGAATGTTAAAAATAATATCGGAATCAATAAGTATCCGAAACTTATCGCATTTCTCAAGAAAATATCTATTGGATATAAAGTGAAAAAAATCCAAAACATTCACCGCTGAAGATATATATCAACAAATTTTCACAAGAAGCTCCCAATGAAGAATATCTGTTAAAAAAGGTAAATTATACTTTATATTTAAACTCTTTGTCATCATCAGAAAGACAGTGTATCTTTATTTTATTGCATCAATGATCCATGATCAATTTGATTGCAGAGTTTATTGTACCATGGCTCAGAGGTCTGAAGCTCAGGTTGCCACGCTAGTGGTCCAATTTCAATTCTCGGTAGGTCCGACATTTTTTTTCTGTCTTGTCAGTTATTTTAAGTTCATTTTGTTTTCTTAGGACAAATGGGATAATTATGGATAAAAACTATTTCCATCGCTCATACTTTCAGGGCAGTCATTTCCAAAAGCTACGTTTGTAGAAAAAATCTTGTGTGTATTACATTACGAGCACAAAGTGTCATTGCCGCTCTCCAAAGATTACCGCGCTCTCCTCCGCATCGCGCGGTAACTTTCTTTGTCGAGCGGCCATCTATTACTTTGCGCTCTAAATACACAAATAGCTATTGTGAACCGTTCTAAAACTGTCCTAGGATTCTTGAACAGTTCTGAAATCGGAAACCGAATGAACCTACACTCAAGTGAAGTAATCTTCAGTGATATACTGCTTGCCAACAGCCATGGAACCACCCATATTTCCGGAAAATGATAACAGTAGGAAAAATAGGTTGAAAATCAATTCGGAGTCGAAATGAGGACGTCCAATTCACATTCATATTTTCCCTGAAAAATTAAATTTTTCTTCGATTGGCAGCAAATATCAATTTTGCTGACACATATCAATCAGCAAAGCAGGGTTGGCATGAATTAATTCATAGGAATTAAATCAGTGATT